TTTAATTTTTTGGTCTTTTTGAGACAGGGTCTCCCTGTAGCCCCAGCTGGCCTGGAACTCACTATGTAGACCAGGCTGGCCTTGAACTCACAGAGATCTACCTACCTCTGCCTCCTGAGTGCTGGGATTAAAGGCATGCGCCACCACGGCCAGCAAAAAATATTTTTATTATATTTATTTTATGTGTATGCGTGTATTGCCTGCATGCAGGTAAGTGCATCCATGCCGTGCAATGCCTGCGGAGGGCAGAAGAGGCTGTCTGGAGTTACAGTTGTTAGCTGCCATGTAGGTGCTGGGATTCGAACCAGTGTTCTTTACCGCTGACCCATCTCTCCAGCCCCTAACTTTTTAACTTTTTAATGTTCTACTCTGAGACAGGGCCTCACGTATCCCAGACCAGTCTTGAACTGGCTATGTACCTCAGGCAGGATTTGATCTTCTGATCCTCCTGCCTCAGCTTCCTGACTAGCTGGAATTATAGGTCTTGGCCTCAAAGCTCAACTTACAACATCCTGTCTATATACAGCATCTTGAACTCACTATGGGACTGCAGAGAAGTCAACTCTTTGGGCCTCCGCGTGCCCATCTGTAAAGTGGGGATGTAGGGACTGGAGACGTAGTTCCATTGACAGAATACTTGCCTATCATGCACAAGGCCTTGATCCATCCCCAGCAAGACATGAACAAGTTGTCGTGTTACATGTTTGTGATCCTAGTACTCAGGAGGTGGAGGCAGGAGAATCAGAAGTTTAAGATCATCTTAAACTGCATAGCAAGTTCTGGGCCAGCTTGAGATACACGACATGCTGTCTCAAAATAAATACATAAAATAGAAATAAGTAAAATCTCAGTTGAGTGTGGATCCCATGTGGCCCTGAGCTGGTCCAACACTCCCAAACCCCTTTCCTTCCCCTGTCGCTTGCAGCTTGTACAATAATTGCATCTGTGATACAGGAGCCAAGAGCCTGGCACAAGTGCTTCCAGACATGGTGTCCCTGCGGGTGATGGAGTGAGTGTAGGGCTTGGGCAGTGCTTGGGGAGGTGGAGGGTCTCCCATCATGAGAAGGGTTGGGGTGAGGGTAGGCAGGCCTCAGGATGGCCTTCTCTCTCCAGTGTCCAGTACAACAAGTTCACGGCCGTGGGTGCCCAGCAGCTGGCTGCCAGCCTCCGGAAGTGCCCTCATGTGGAAACACTGGCGTAAGTTGTACAGTCCCAGGGTAAAGTTCTGTGTGTAACACTAGAATTCAAACCCCACTCCTACTGATCAAAGTGTGACCCTGGGTTGGCAGGTGCTTCATTCTGGGGGCCTCGGTTTCTCCATCTGTGAGATGGTGATAGTAACACCTGTACAGAGAGGATTCATGAAGAAAGCTCTTTTGATACAGGATCTTATGTAGCCCAAGTTAGCTTGGAACTCACTATTTGGCCAAGGATGACCTTAACTTCTGATCCTCCTACTTCTACCTCCCAAGTGATGGAATTATACATGTGCATTTCCACACCCAATTTCTCGAGGATCCAAGTGAAGGCTTTGCATGTGCTAGGAAAAGATCAATTGAGCCACATCCCAGCCCTGAACTTCTAGAACAGTACTGTCATACAAAAATGCTCAATAAATATTTCAGCAGGGTGAACAATATGAAATTGCCTAATCCAATCATTCTTAGACCATAAAAATGGCAATTTTATAAAGTTAAATTTTTTTTTATTATTTTGTCTGTTTTTGAGACAGGGTCTTCCTGTGTACCCCAAGGCTGGACTTGAACTCATGATCCTCCTGCCTCAGCCTCCTGAGTGCTGGTAGGTATATTCACTGTGCCAGGTTCAAACTTCTTTTTATTAAGCCACTGTGCTGCTTAGTGTCCCATACTGGCACCTTATGTTCTTTCAGGTCCCTTTAATCTACAGTAGCGCCTGTCTGAGTCTCTGATAGGTAGAGTGGAACTCTGTATTAGCCCTTTTCTTGTTGCTATGCACATAATGCCTGCAGAAACAACTTAAGGGAGGACAGGTTTATTTGTGCTCACCATTTCAGAGGCTCAGTCCACTACGGTGGGAAGGAGTTCCAACAGGAGTTCTGCTCAAAGGTGCTCACATGCAGACAGGAAGTAGAGAGCTGCTGGAACTGTGCCAGTTGTCACCTTCGAAGGTCCATACATAGTGACCTACTTCACCAGGCAGTTCCTCCTAAAGACTCCACAGCTTCCAAACTAGTGTCTCAGTTGAGGGGAGGAGGGGCATTTAAAACATGAGCACTGGAAGGCATTCCTGATTGAAACAGTCAGGGTCTGTTCTACAGATGAAGAGTTTTACTTGACCTTTTTGAGGTCACACAAAAAAATCAGGAATGAGAAAGGGGTCTCCTCTGAGCATTCTATTCTCCTTATGCTGGTCTGTGACCTGTCAGGTAGGACATGGTCAAGGCTCTAGACAGAGTGAGAGGAGGCGCTTGGGGCAGTTTGCATTGGGGGTCCTGGCTACCTTCTCTCTAACCTAATCCTGGGGTCTTCTGCAGGATGTGGACGCCCACCATCCCCTTTGGGGTTCAGGAACACCTGCAGCAGCTGGATGCTCGGATCAGCCTGAGATGAGCTTGTGGGGCCCTAGACAAGGTATGGAGTTGTGTCCAGAAGGAAGAACCGCAGGGACAACTGGGGTTAGTGTCCTGGTGAAGAAAGAGGTCAGGGTGTCAAGCAGGGCTGGGTAAGCACCTGGGTCCATGTGTCTTCTGGAGTTATCCTGTCTCCATAGTGGCAGAGGGAAGTGTCCACCAGGCTTTGGAGACTTGGGCCAAGGATCCTCCCTCAGTTAGTTAAAGACTAAGGAAGGACAAGCAGAGCTTGCCGTTCATATCCCCCAGCCTTGGCACTGGAAAGTCCTTCCTTCAAAACTTTGGCTTTCTTGCTGCTGCTTTCGATTTTTCAGTTACTCTGATTCTCTTGGGTTCATCTCCATGGGAAGTTTACCCTGTAAGTTTCCTGCTACCCACCAGGAAGACGATTGTCCCCTTACCTCTGTGTATGTGTCCTCTCTCTCCCCTAACCTGCACTGCAGTTGCCCTCCAGCCCCTCTTTCATTCCCCTCCATGGTCATAGCCCCTCCCCCACTGGCCAGGTTGCCCCTCTAGAAGTTCACTGACTCACCTGCCCTTCCGGATCCCCCACAGCACCTACTCTGGGGACACTGACCACGCTGGACCATGACCTGGGTACTGTGGACTCAATTCTTCTTTGAGTCATATCCATGAGCCTCAGCATCCTGTCATCTTGCCCCTGTGGGCTCAGGATTGGCACCTATTCAGCTGCAGAAGGGACCCGCATCTCACATGGCTATAGGTCCCAGGACTGGCTCCGGGCTCCTTCAGTGCTGGGTTAGAAGCCAACCTGGACGAACAGTTGCGAGCTCTGGCTGACAGGTGGGTAACTGGGGCCACCTTTGGTGGATACACCCAGGAGACCCATGGCCTACTCTGTGACACTCCAGGCTAGAGTGAGGGACTGGGGCAGCCAAGCATCTGCCTGTCCAGGCCCCAAACCAGCCTGATGCAAAGCACTCCTCCCCTGCTGCTCCCTAGACAGGGCCTGCCAGACTACCCTGGCCTGTTGACCTCCAAAATCAAAGGGAGTCTATGGCAGCTCTTTCTGTCTGAAGTACTGTGTGCATGAACTTTAGGTCAAGGTCAAGTCAGGCCTGGCCTGGCCCCTGAATGGGACCTGGGAGCCAGGGAATGGCACACTATGGGAAGTGGGGAGGGCTGTGGCTGGGAGCCACTCTGTCGCCTCTGTTGTGCTCACTACATTATAAATGTCCCAGCTACTCTCACTGCTCCAGGACTTGGTTTATCGCACGAGTTCCATTCGGGGGTACCTTCTGTCCTGGTTATCTAATGCAAAAGAAACCAGTGACTTAAAACAATACACACATCTATTCTGTCCCTACACCTGTCCTGTGGGCAGGCTCATACTGGACAGCTCACCTGTTCCCCCAAATCCTATGAGTCCACTGGGGCCACTAGAAGAAGCCAGGTTGGATTATCTGAAGGCTCCCTCCCATGTATGTCTGGCATGTGACACTGGTTGTTGGCTGGGAGCCTCGGATCCTTAAATGGGACAGCTGGCTGAGGACTTCTCCAAGGAAGGACAGCTAGCTTGTCTTCCTCATAATGTGTTGGCTGTGTTATAGGGTGAGGGAGAAAAATGAGAAAGTCTGTACATTCTTCCTAATATCCCTGGAAGTCACACAGTGCCACTAATGCCACATTCTGTCTAACAGTATGTGCACCCTGAACATGTACACGCTGCACAGTCCACCTCCATCTAGATTCTGTCTTTTCTGAAAGGATTTTCTTTGTGGCTTCCTAAGATTTGGTGAAAATCCATTACTCGCAGACCTGGAAGCTGAGGCAGTGTCCAAAAGACAAAGGGGAGTGTTTTCCTCTTGCACCACTCTATCCTGCAAGCTGTCCTGTAGCCAAGTTGGAACTCTGCCTTGGCTGCAGGGGCCGGGCAGCTCTGCCAGCATGGCTGTTCCTGTTTCCCTGGGGCCACTGCCTGCTAGGTCAGGAGCAGAGATCCATTGATTCCCTCCATCAGGGACAGGGACAGCTTGCTTTCTTGCAGTGGTGGTGGGGGCCATCCATGTGGCTCCAACATGCTAGCCCTGATGCTGACAGGACTGGCCCTGTTCCCAGTAAGTGGGAATGGAGCCAGAAGGCCTGGAGGGAGAGCCTGGCTCCCCGGAGGTGATTCTCAAAGGAGCCAGGCTCTTCTGCACCTGCCCAGCTGCAGAGGGAATCCATGTTGAGGCCCAGACTTACATTATGGAGGTCCGTGGGAGTCCCATTTGTGTGACCACAGGGGATAGTACTTAGCTGCTCTCTAAGGGAGGCATCTGTTACACCTGTCATCCAGGTGGGCATACCTGTACCTCTGCCTTTGATCGGTCCAGAGATAACAAAATGAGGTCTCTTGTTACTTTCTACTGATGGCTGTCACTTATTTAATGAACCGATTCATGCAGGGCACTCATTACAGTGCTAGGGACCTAGTAAATGCTCAGTAAGTCTCGCTGGTTCTGGATCTTGTGTACCAGGCAGTGTGCTCAAGCTCCAAAGGGGAGGTAGCTTAGTACTGTGTGACAGACTTAGATGGGCTGCCTGGCCTTTCACCCTAGCTCATGAAAGCAAATTACTTTTGTTCTTCAGCATCTTCATCTGTAAAATGGGCACAATCACAATACATTACTCCCTGGGCTACATGAAAATTCAATGTAAGAACATAAATATTTTTAAAATGATGGTGCACAGCTCAGTGTGCAAGCTGCTGTTTTTCCTTCTGCTTGGGTGTTTCAGCACCAGCTCTGACTTTTTTAGAACTCTGAAGAACATCTCCTCAGGGAGGTCTGTCTCACCTCTCATTCCACACAGACTCTCCTCTGCCCCCAACTCTCCAATCTTATCTCCATGTTATCTTTTTGCACAATTTTGTTGTGTGTCCAGCTAGGATGTGAACTCCAGGGACCCAGGGAACTTCTTTGCTTTGATCACCCCTGTGCCCTCTGCACCCAGTCAGGTGCCTGTACCAGTAGGTGCTCAGGAGCGGTGCGATGGATAGCTAACCCTCAGCACATCCCTGTTCAGTTGTTCTTCAGACATACACTGAGGACACAGTGGTGAATAAGGTGCTCACAGTTCCTATTTTGGTAAGTCTCACATTTTAGCAAATTTAAATTTGCACAAAGGCTCCTGGACAGTGGACATGAGAGGTGCACACTGGAGCCTGAACTGGAGTTTCACCAGCTCAGAGGAGTACCATTTGATAATTAGGACAGTGTCATCTCAAAAGGTGGGGAGGGGCTGGAGAGATGACTCAGTGGTTAAGAACACTGGCTGTTCTTACAGAGGACATGGGTTTGGTTCCCAGAACCCACATGGCAGCTAATAACCATCTGTTACCCCAGTTGTAGGGGATCCAATGCCCTCTTCTGGCTTCTGCTGGCACTGCATGCACACAGTGCACTTACATGCAGACAAAACACTGACTCACACACAAAAATAATTTTTTAAAATAATCAAAAGGTAGGGAAATTGTGTCAGAGATGTGGAAGGAGTCAATGAGTCATCTTGGCCAGTGACTCCTTTGGAGGGTCGCTGCAGGTATGGGCAATGTGCCAGAATGGGTTGTTGAGCCCCACTTGTGATGTGGGAAGTGGTACGAGGGGAATCTGCAGATGGCCTCCTCAGCCCTCACCTCCCCCCATGCCTTTCTTCCTGCATTGTTTCCTGGCCTGTTCAACATCTTCTTTTCCCATTTTTGTGTCCCTTTTCTGAACTTCATATGGCGAGTGTTACAGGCATCTCTTCCTCCTAGTGTTCCTCCTCACCTCCCAGCAGAACAGTGGAATGGGGCTATCTCTGGACCTGGCTTAATCAAGTATGGGTGTGAAAGTCCTTGAAGGTGGCCCACACTCTGTAAACTGGACTCGCTGCTCATGAGACTGCAACCTACTCTGATTCTACTCCATTCCTCCCACCACCCCTTTCTATTGTTGTGTTCCACTTAGGACAGGGTCCCATGTGGCCCAGCCAGGCCTTTAATTCAATATGTAGTTGAAGATGACCTTGAACTTCTGATCTTCCTGCCTCTACCTCTGGAATGCTAGAATTACAAGCATGCAGCACCTTACCTAGTTCATGCAGTGCTAGGGATCAAAAGAGTCTACGAATGGAGCTACACCACCAGCCCCCTCCCCCTCATTCTTAACGGAAGTCTACCATGTGCCCTGTGTGGAAGACACCACACAGCCACCTCTGTGGGATCCAGGCTCAAGTTCCATAGGGTCCCCAGGCTTGTGGGTGCTGGGAGGAGGCCAAGTGGGAACTCCCATGCTAGCCCCTCTAGGGTGAGTTCCCCAGATGCTCTGGATCTTCACACTGGGGCCTCTGACCTTTTTGTACATCATCAACCATTAAGTCTTCTTTTCCAAAATTCAAAGAAAACAAAGGGGAAAAAAAACCCAACTAGGCAAGGCCCGAGGGATCAGAGTTGCATACATTTTTTAATGAAATAAGTCAGCCTCTAAGTATTGCTTTTTCAGGTTTATGGAAATCAAGTATCTACATCACTCATACTTCCAAAAATAGATTTCTGGCCAGAGCAGCAACGTGACCTTCCTTAGGGCAGTGTCTCAGTTCTGCCAACCTGGAGAGGTCAAACCCTGCCCTGGAACCTGGCATGTCCCTCTTCAGAGTGACTCCCTGAAACTGTGACCAACAGCCTTGGGTGAAACTCAGCTGGGCATAAGGCTCAACCGGCATCCAACCACAGTGGAGTGAGCAGCCCAAGTATGCATCCATCTGCATCCCACTTCAGCTCTCCGTGTCCTCTCCAGAGGTTAAGTGGGGAAGGCAGGTGCAGTTTGGGGTAAAGTGCAGGGAAGTGACCTCTGGCTGGGTTCCTGTAAACATCCATTGCAAAGGTAGAGAGTCACAAGCCAGATCCAGACTGTTTGAGCGCTGAGCAGTAGGTGAGGTCTTTGAAGGCCTTCCCCCTCCAGTGGGGCCAGGCAACTTCCCCATCTTGGCACTGGGTCCCCATCACTTCTGGAACACTCCTGGACTTGGACAGGAACCTGTCTGTTGGCATGAACAAGCCTAATTCCAAGAAGACAAAGGTCCATTATTAATGGGGGCCACGACAATCACCAGCCTGGGGTGTATCCCTGGGGGGATTCAGGAGGGGCAAGGAAGCCTTGCTTTGTCCCTTAAGTTCCAGGAGCTCCAGGCTCAGGCTAGAGAAGTTTTCTTTTTAATTTCATATGTGCATATAATGCACTTTTATCATATTTATCCCCATTTCCTCTTATTCCCGACCCCTCAGGAACCCTTCTTCCCAACATGTCCCCTCCTACTTTTTAAGGAACCTACTAAGTTTAATTGGGGTGGCTTGCCATGAGCATGGGTGAGGGGACATTTACAGGACAGTGGGCAAGTGACCAGTGGCTGTGACTCCCTTCCCCCCAGCAGCCATTAACTGCCAACAGCTTAGCTCCTCAGCTAGTGGTGCAGCCTCACACGTCCCTCCCCTATCCGGTTTTCAGTAAAATTTGTTTTTTAAGGCAGGGTTTCATGTAGCTGAGGATGCCCACCTCTGAACTTTCTGCCTCTATCTTCCAAGTGCTAGGATTACAGGTGTGCACCACCACACCCAGCTTATGCTGTACTGGGGCTCCTATCTAAGGCCTAGTGCATACTAGGCAAGCACTCTACCAACTAAGCCACATGCCCAGTTTCCTATCATTTTTATTACAAGTTCTTGTTAATGAATTTGCTTCATTTCTGAGACCCTAGGGAACCAGGGTAGTTTTCCATGGGAGAGGAGAGCTGTCTAGGTCATCAGGAGAGGGAGAGGGATGCTGAGGCTGGAAGCACAGTTGTGTAGAGAGGTCTTGCAGGGACAATTGAGCAAGCTCCAGGGAGTGGACAGGACTTGGCAGCCTCTCCTGTCTTGCCCGGTAAGTTCTGTACCTACAGGAAGGCTCACCACAGCCAGCCAACTCAGTATCCCCACTTGGCTCCTCTTCCCATGACATTACCTGTTAACGCCCGGCCCTGTGGCAGGTCCTCTTTTCTCATCCCCTCATCTTGTGTCTGGCTAGTGCCAGCATCTCTGCAGCACCTGATGTGCCAGGTTTACCCTCCTTGCAGCCCCCTTGCCCACTCAGACTATTTTCTCTACCAGCATCACTGAGCATCAAACAAATATCAAATTGCATGCGAAACATGCAATGTGTACTGCTGAGCAACATCTATACACCTGTGTGTGTGTGTGTGTATGTGTATGTGGCTGTTTGGGGAAGCATATGTTTAGCAGATGTCTTGGCCCCCAAACAGCAAATACCAGGTAGCACCTCCAGTCACTGTGACTGCTAAAACTGTCCTTCACCCATTTCTAAGAGCTGTTAAGTGTGTAGAACCATTTCACTGAGAACTATGCTTCTCCCCATTTCATAGGCTACAAAGCAGAGGCTCAGAAGCCAGGTAACCTGCTCACAGCTGCACAAGTAGGAGAGGCAGGGCTGTCACTACACTGGCAAGGACAAGGACAATCAAGATCTGGATGCTCTCACTATGCACCTCGCCCTTCCTGCCACTTGCTTCCCCAAGGGCTGTCTCCATCCTTCATCCTTCATCCTGCTTGGCCCCCCAGCTGCAAGAACAGAAGCGCTAATGCCTTCTGCAGTAGCAGCATCCCACCAAGGATGATCAGGAAGGACCAATATCCCAATTCCCTCACCTGCACCTGGGGCAACTCACGTCCTATACCCACTCTGTTTTACATCCACTGGCTCCTGGGGTTCCTGAATAGGACTGAGTCTGGGCTGCAGTGGTTGCCTGCTTAATGACAACCTCCCTTGCTGATCGCCGTTTCCCACTCTCCACCGGAGACTCACAGGCATATGTACTCTCCCAAGGAACCCAGAGTTAGTTGTTATAATGCCTGTTGGACGGGTAAAGAAATCAAGGCTCAGAGAAGGCAAGACATTTGTCAAAAGATGCTCAACTCAGAAGTGCTAAAACTTAAGTCATGCTGGAAAAAGCAGTGATCCTAGCTATAGGGGAGCTGAGGCCAAAGAATGTCAGGTTCAAGACCAGCCTGAGCTATATCATGTGAGTGAGCCTGTCTCCAAAGCCCCAAAACTAGCTGAGATTTTAACCACCACATGCAACATCATATATGCCAGGCCTTGAGCTGAAAGTCAGATGTCAGGTATTGTGCTTCAGCACAGGTGGAGAGCAACTTTCAAACTAGACTAATCTACCCAATGACAGGATGAGGCTATAAGCACAAATGGAAGTCCACACCAGGCATGAGCTGCACAGGAAGGTCACTCAGGGGGAGGAGGGGGATGGTGGCCTAGGAGCCTTCTGTAGTTGGGAACAGGATGGGGTGGAGGCCCGCAGCCAAAGGCCACAGGTTCTCTTGCCTTTTGCCAGACTCATCTGCCAAATGCTAGCTGGGAACACACCCTGCTCAGGAACCGTTCCTGGTTCCTTCAGGCCTTTCCAACCTGCCCACAGAACCTGCAGGAAGGGCTGCAGCCAGAACATCAGGCATTCCAGAAAGGCTTTCTGTGGTGGTTCTCCCGTCATACCAGAGCCCACCTGTGGCTGCTCTCCCTCCTTCAAGGACCCCAGGGGAGGCAGGGTGGTGTTGAAACCCCTGGTATTCAGGAGACTGCAGCAGAATAATTTACTGAGATTCACCCAGGCCTGGGGAGGAGTCACCTGGGAGGCCTCAGTCCTTGTGACTAGTACCCCAGATAGAGTACCAGCAGCTGCTGGTCTGGCTGAATTGGCTGTCCCAAGAGTTCCACCCCTGTGCCCATGCCTTACCCTAGACTCCAGAGGAAACAGCTGTCTACCAGCTTATCTGCTGAGTCTCCTACTTACTGCCAGTGATGCCAAATGCCCATTTAGTCACATGAGTCTCTATTTTCAAAGCATTTTACTTTAACAAGTGAATTTAAAGAAACAAACTGTAAAGAATAGTTCAGGGGCTGGTGAGATTGCTCGGCAGGTAATGGTACAAATCCTGAGCACCCGAGTTTGATCCTCAGAACCCAAATGGTAGGAGAAAACAGACTCCTGCAAGTTGTACTGACTTATTGACTTACAAATACACACACAAAATAAACAAATGTAAAAAAAAAAAATAGTTGAGGTAGGCAGATAGAGCAGAAAATAGCTTTCTCAGGGCTCTGGGCTCAGTAGTTCTCCTCCAGACAGCCTTCTAGAACCCCATTGAGCATCCTTTCTTCATGTACCAGATGCCCAGCTTCACCTCTGCTCTGCAGGCACCCAGGTTCTCTGTGCTGGCGGAAGGCTGTGCAGTAGGCAGTCATATGGTTCATAGCCAAGGGCAGGGTGGCAACCTGGCTAACTCCCTGGCAGCTGCAAGGGCTCTGGAGAGGAGAAAGAAGCTGCTTGTTTCCAGATGGGTCCAAGTCTCCAGAAGAAGTTAGTTTCTAGGGCCTGGATTCCAGTTCCATCTGGCTGTGAACATTCAATAGGCTGTATGAAAATGCTTCATCCTCAAAGTGCCTGCAGCTATTGGGGTTCCCAGCCTTTCAGAAAGGCAGTGCTGGCCCAAGCACTTCCTTAGGGTTGTCATACACCGTCTGGGCTGTTACTTAAGCTAAGTATACTCTATTTGGAATGCCTAGACCAGAGAGTTTTAGGTTCTGGAAATGAGATATCCAGAGGAACTCAGGAGGCTGAAGGAGGAGGATTATGAATTTGAGGCCAGCCTAAGCTTGGACCACTGCAGGGAGGGAGGTTCAGGCACCACTTTTGTGAACCTGCACTGTGACTGCAGCTAGTTGAGTGGGGTCAGCTGTGGCGCTTTCTCCCGTGGTGTCATGCTGTTGCTCTAGGCCTTCTGGAATTTGGAGAATTTGGGATTTTCAGGCCTATATTTTAAAAACAATGCCTCTTTAAAATTTTTTTTTAATTAGGGCCAGCTTTGCAGGTAAGGGCACTTGCTGTCAAGCCTGATGACCCCAGTTCCATCCCTGGGAATCACATGGAGGAGGTTAAGCACTGATTCAAGCAGGCTGAGCTCTGACCTACACTCTCTAAACAAACAAACAAAAAAACAAATCAAATGTAAAAAATTGGAGCTAAAGAGATGGATCAGCAGTTAAGAGCACTGACTGCTCTTGTAGAGGACCAGGGTTTGATTACCAGCATCCACATGGTAGCTAACATTCATCTGTAACTCCAGTTCCAGAGGATCTGATGCCCTCTTCTGACCTCTATGAGCATTGCATGACACAGAGGTCATTGCGTGACACAGGTACATTTACACACATGCAGGCAATACACTCATACACATAAAAATAATATTAAAAAGCAAATGTAAACAATTTTAAATTACATTTACTTATTTGTATATGTATATGTAGGCACCATGGCAGGAATGTGGAGGTTAGAGGACAACTTTCACAAATCAGTTCTCTCCTTCCACTATGTGGGGCCCAGCGATCAAACTCATATCATTGCACTTGGCAAGTGTCTTACCTGCTGAGCCATTTTGCCAGCCCCAACAATGCAGTGTTTTGCAACACGTTTTCCATTTTGAGACAGATTTGCTATGAAGCCTAGGCTAGACTCTCCAAGCTTCTGCCTTAGCTCCTCCATGTTGGAATTAGAGGCATGCACCACTTTATCTGGCATAATTCAAGGCTATTTTTGTTTTTATTTAGGATCTTGTCTTATAGCTTAAGCTGGCCTCAAATTCATGATCCTCCTCCCTCAGCATCCTAAGTGCTGAGATTACTGGCATGTGCCAAAAGTTTTAAAGGAAACATTTATGTCAGGACTATGAAAAAAAGTATCAGTTGTCATAAATAGAAGGAGGTGGCAAACTAAGGAGAGAGTGAAGAGGAAGCCAACCTGGCTCCATGCCCTGGCCTGGAGCTGAAAGCAGGAAAGTCAGGGGCACCTGGGCCCAACTCCCCTGCTGCCTCAGGAATGTCTCAGGCCAGCACCTTGCCTAGGAAACTCTGGATGTGTGTGTGCAGCTTGGAGGCCCAATGCTGCCACCTCACAGCTGGTATCTGAGGTGAGTCACTGAACCGTCCCAAGCCTCAGTTTCCCTCCCTACCTAATAAGCTCTGCCCAATCAACATCACAAGGTGATGCTCAGGGTAAGCTATGGAGATGTGGGAGTTACCTATTTCTAATCTCCCAACTAAGCCTCCTGTCAGGGAGGAATCCTGAGAAACAGGCCTTCCCCTCGGGAGTCAGGATGACAGCTGTGAGGGCACCAGCATCAGCTTGAGACTCAATGAATACCAACATCACTACCCTCAGGCTTTTTAACAGATGGCCCACATTGACACTCCCTCCTGGCTATTGGTCCCCAGAAGAGCAAGGAACCTCAGGAAAGGGGGAAGGCTTCTGGGGCTAAGGCCCCCTGGAATGGACACATCATGAACACTAATTGCATGCATCATTTATAAATTAACCATACATCAGTTACAGCCCATTAAATTGGTACAAGCCCCTAGGCAGCTACCATTGTTCCCATCCCCATTTGAAGAGAGGGAAACTGAGGCTTGGGGGAGGTGACATCATTGGTCCAGGGTGTTGGTGGAGCTGAGCCTTAAACTCAAATGTATGTGACTGCAAAGACTCTAGGAAACAATTTTAGGGGTTGCCTGAGCTGGCCAGAAGCCTCACACATATAGGGATTGCTTGTTTTATGGCTCTTGGTCAAGTCTCACTACTTCAAGAAGTTCCAGTTTGGTGCTGGGACATCTTTATCTATTAGATGCTAATTTCCCTTTTAACATAAAGAGCACAGAGAGCAGGCCCTGGCCTTGGCCTTGAGCTGGCTTTACTTCTTAGCCAGAAGTTAATAACTTTGGAACTTATTTTCATCTGTGTCAGGAGTGAGTGGCTTCCAAACAATAAACATTCATTAAAAATAAATCCATGCATGCTGGGGGTGCAGCTCAACAGCAGAGTGTGTGCTTAGCATGTGAAGCACTGGGTTGGATCCCCAGCACCACCAAAAATAAGTCCACAGGATCTGGGGGTATGCCTAAATTGGTAGAATCCTTACCCAAAATGCATGAAACCCTGGGTCCATCCTCAGCACCACATAAACTTGGCATTGTAGTGCATACCTATAATCTCAGTACTTGGAAGGTCAGGGCAGGAGGATCAGAAGTTTAAGGTCATCCTAGGCTACATGTTGAGTTTGAGCCAGCCTGAGCTACCTGAGACCCTGCCTCAAAGAAACAAATGAAAACCAGTTCACATAAAAAATACTTTTTTACAAATGAAGCACTAAAATTGGTGTTATTGAACTTAGACTATAAAGGGAAAAGTAGTAACTCAACAATGGGTAGAACTGGTTGACAGCACCTCAGCCAAGTAACCAACATTAACATTAACCTGACCAGTAATGGTATGGACACGCTGTATGAGGACATGGTCTCTTCTGAGATCTTCCTGCCAAGATTGCATTACCTGAATAGAATTCTGAGCGTGAACACCTGCCAACCCCAAGCAGAGACAGTCCACTAAATGCCAGAATGTCCTCGTCAAAAGTTCCAGTGTCATCAAAATATAGACAGACATGAAGTCACTCCAGACTGAAAAAAGCTTGAGTGAACGCAGGTGACCTGGTGGAGTCTGGGGTACCAACATTCTTGATTTTACTGTTAAAAGGGCCATCCTGGATCAGATACGAAGGGTTGATAAGGCTGCAGGCCAGACTGGTCACAGGGTCGAATCCCTGTTCATTTTGCTGATTTCAGTCAGGTGTGGAGGTGCACACTTGTAATTCTGGCGCTCAAGAGGCAGAAGCAGGAGGATCAGGAGTTCTACGCCAGTCTCCACTATATAAGAAGCCTCACTAAAACAACAACTGCAAACATTTTGCTGATTTTGACAAGTACACTGCAGTTGTTTAAGTACATCCTTGTTTTAGGAAAGTATAGAGTCACTATCCTCCACTAAAGGAGGATAGTGTTTGCAATCCACTTTCCAATGGTTTATGGCATGACTGTCCAAACATATAAGTGTGTATACATGTACACATACACATGTGTACAGAAAAAGAAGAATGTGAGCTTGTCTTGAGCACATGAAAAGTGCTAGGTGGTGGGCTCAGCTGAGGGGTATATGGGAATTCTTTATGCTTTTCCTGCAACTTTGCTGTAAGTGTGGAATCATTCCAAAATTTTTCTGAAAGCCTTCTGGAGGAACTCAGGAATAAAGGAACATGCATGCAGATGAGACAGTCCTGGCAGAAGCTGGGAGCTGGGCCCTCCTGGAAGGTTCTCCTCCTTCCTGGTGGCCCCTGTGCTGTGCAGGAGACAGGCTGTCTTACCTGGCCTTATTTTCTCGGCCCCTCACTTCCCCTTTCTGGGCCCGTTTCTTTATTTGCCAGATTGGGATGAAGAGGTCTACCCCAGCCAGGTATGGTGACACACACTTGACATAGCAGAACTTGGGAGGTGGAAGCAGGAGGATCTTGAGTTCAAGGCCAGCTGGGACTACATGGTGAAACCCTGTCTTTTTCAATGTGATGTTGGTCTCCCAAATACAGATGATGCTTTCAGAAACTCCAGGGTGAAGGCAGCAGTAATGTCCAATAAAAGTCCTCCTGTTTTTAGTGCAATGAACAGATCCTAGGGCTGGGAGGAAGGTGTGACCTGCCTCTTCCTGGCTAGAATCTCCAGTAGGTATTAACTCAGAGCCAAGGGAGTGGGGCCCTTGGCATCTCAGCTGGCCTGAAGTCTTCTTTTTTATAAAGGGATGGTCAGCACTGAGGCAGCACTGTGGCTGGGGGCCCTTCTGGGAGAGATGTATGTCAAGAACAGGGTTAGAGGGTCAGCCAGACCAGAGTGTACATCAGCCCACCCCCTTGCCTAGATGACAGCCTCAGCCTCCTGACTGGTCTCCTGCATCTTCCCTGGCCCTGTCCCAGATCTACAGGCCACTTATGGGTCTCCCATGTGTGGGGTTCCCCATGGAAGCTGTGGGCAACAGTATATCCAACCCAGTACTCTGCTAATGGCTTAGGCTGACAGGCAAGAAAAGCTGAGGGCAGGGAGGTAGAAAAGGAGCAGCTGTGGTCCTTAGCTAAGAGCCACCTGAGACCTGGGAAGCCTGGTAGTAAGACAGATCAAGGGTCATCACCCTCATTCTACAGCCACACTGAACCAGGCTGCACAGACTCTAGGGGCAGCGTCCTTAGTCTCCTAATTTCCAGCCCAGAGACAGTGCCTCTTCTTTGATATGTCAGGTAACAGGAGAGGACCATAATAATCAGTTATGATTAATTGAGCTGCCTCTGTACTTAACAGATGGGATGCAGGGGTTCCCCTTTCCAAGGCTCCCAGGTCAGGTGCACAGCCTTTTCCTCCAGCAAGCATCTGCTTCCCTGCTCCCCTAGGCACACCGAACACTCCAGGAAACTGCAAAGAACTGGTGCCCTAGAGTCTACTGGGTCTGACTGAGTAGGAAGGCAGAGATACAAGTGTATGTGGGTAGGCCCAGGGCATTCCCTGCATGCAGGGAGGCTTAGGGGGCTGATTTTTTGTTAATCATGGGCTATGAATACTCAGGCATGAGGCAGGTAAGGGCTGCTTCCCCACTGCAGTTTGTGCTCCAGACTGCAACTGCCTGTCAGTAAGAGCTGCTGGTATTCATGTGCTGGTTACTATGCACAGGAAGTTACTATGCACAAGGAGGGCCAGTGCTTTGTCCTCTCAACATGGCAGATCTTCATTATCTCTGTTTTACAGAAGGCACTGAGGCATGGGGAAGCTAAATGGCTGTCCAAGATGGTAGCAAGGCCTGGGATTTGAACCCAGGAAATTTGAATTTAAAGTCAAATGGCTTCAATGGCTATCCACTGCTCTTGACCTTGATTTTGTATCGACTCCTCAAAGAGATGCTCAGTGAATCCATGAGGATTGAATTATGTGAGTACCAGAAAGAGGAATGTAGGATGCAAAAGTGGGTGTCTTTCATGTTGAGATTCACCTGGCATGTCCTATGCCCTTTGTTAATGTTTCCTGGCCTGGCTGGTATGGAACATATATGTCCTATGAGCATGAATAGGAACAGGCATGATAGGCCCCCAAGCCTTCTCTGCTTATGGACAGGGGTCTGGGGAGTCAAGGTTGGGTCAGTTTACTCCAGGTCTCTAGGACCACCCCTTCAGCACCCTCTGGGTCTGGCTTTCCTGGCCCTGAGGCTAAGGGCTTCAGGTTTAGACTGAGAGCAGGAGTGTAGTGGGTGGCTTTCAACAGGTTCCAGCCCTGGGTGGGGTGTTTCCTACATCCCCTGCACCATGCCCCAAGGGTCAGGCCCTGTCACTACAAATACTTTGCAAGGGTGTCCCAAAGAGATGCTTCTTGGTGTTTCTGCTCAAACAGTATTTGCTTCAAAATATGTCAAAGCATTTGCGCTTCGGTTTTCAGTTTAGAATATGCCAATGTTTTCATTTGGAGGCGGGAATGTTTCTGTTGATATGGTAAGAAGATAAAATAAGACACTCTTCACCAAGTTATACTGTCTGAAAGTCAAGCATTTGGCTCCAGGACAGGAATTCAACTGTGATCCAGGGATCACAGGGGCCTAGGCTAGACTCTACAAGAAAAACAAGGACCAATGCTTGTTGAATGACTAAATGAGTGAATATGCAGAGGGTCTAGAACCAGAAGTGATGTGCTCTCTACTCAGGTTCTGAGCAGATCCCAGAGGTTCCACTGTTAAGTGTTCTCAGTGTGTTCCTGTTTCCCATCTTTCTGATCTGGCCTTGTCCAAGTCTCTGCCTCTGTCTGGATAACTTACAGCCTCCTCACTGGCCCACTGCTTCCACACTTGCCCCTTTAGCCCATTCTGCTCACAGCTACCAGTCATCTTTGCAGAACCTGGGCTGGACTGTGTCATCCCCTGCCTAGAACCTTCAATGGCTGTCCACTGCTCTTGGCCATGGCATCTCAGGCCTACCACTGACCTCTCCAGCTGCTCACTCTCCAGTCACTCCAGTCTCCTTTCAGTTACCAGATGACCCAACCCTGTCACATCTCAAGGTGTGGGCACTAGTAGTACACTTTGCCTAGACTGCTTTTCTCCAGATTTACCTGGCAGGCTCCTTCTATCAATTTTAAGCTCAGTTCATATTTGCCACGTCTTCAGAGGGGCCTTCTCTGACCCTCCAATTACAGAAGCTGGCCCTTTTCATCTACCCAAGGCCAGGTGCTGACGAGAAACAAGAGTAAGCACAGCAGCAGCAACTCTCGCCCTTCCAGCCACCCTGCTGAGCTCCTAAACTCCTCATGGTGTTGTTTGGGTGCCAGCTGTCTTCCTCACTGAGGACCAGCATGCCCAGGGTTCCATCAGTCTTGCTCACTGAGTACTCAACAAATAGGTATTTGTTCAATTAAAGAATGGATGTCAGACAGGCAGGTAGGTTAGGAGGAATGCAGAGTGGCTGGCACACACCCACCTTGCACTTGGCTCCTGTGATGATCTCACCAAGCTCAATTAAAGCTTTCTTTAAAGATAGCTCACTTTGTCTCCAAGTATCTCCTGCCCCTCCTGCATTACTCTCTACAACAGACTGTGTCTGTGTCTCCCCCAAAGTCCACTGTTGAAATCCTGTTCCCGCCGTGGCTGTGATGGTATTAGGAGGTGGGGTTTAGGGGAGGTGATTAGGTCACAAGGGTGGAGCCCTCCTAAATGGATTAGAGCCCTTGTAAGAACTGTGAGAATGAAATGCTTGCTGTTTGAGCCACCCCATCCATTGTATTCTGCTACGGTACCCAGAATCAAGAAACCCTGTGATTATAGGAATGTTGGCAAAGACAGGCAATACAGGAGGGGTGACTACCTCCTTGGGGTGAGTGGCATTATAATGTCTGTTTTCCTAAAGGAGCCCCTGCCTACCAGCACAGCATGCCCCGTCACTGTCACCCAGGCTCTACGCCCTGGTAAATTTCAGCATTATCCAGCAATGGGCCAAGGAGGACCTGTCTGCCCCATGTCCTCCCATTTAAATTAGACCAGACAACTGCCCGGCAGCTTGCCTGGCATGCATGGTCTCTCTTTCACGTAGCTCAGCTGTCCCTTCTTGAGTGACTTTAGCCCACCATACTACTCCCTGGACTTTCACTGCCTTACCTCTAGTATACAACAAAGCTTCCTGGAGGAAGCCCAGACACAGGTCTTTAGTGCAACCATCCGATGGTCCCTTCTACTGACCCGTGAGCCCCTCCAGGTCTTGCGAATATTGCAGACAAAGGCTGGGAACAGTATGCCTGTTCCAGGGAGGCAGTCTGTGAAACTGGCAGCCCTGCAGATCAGAGCTGCGGAACTAAAACCCCAGAAGCCCTGAAACCTGACTCCCAATACAGCAGCAAACAGAATGCCAGAAGTGTGGTGTTTGCTGAAGGTTTCTCTTCTCCCAGCTTTGGCCTAGGTCCCCCCAGTTCACCTAGCCCCCCCCCAAGGGGCTACAGGGCAAAGGTGATGGGTAAGTCTGACACCTCCAAGTCTGTCCTTCTAGGACAAGTGAGAATTCCCAAAATGCCAAGGTCACCATCAAGACAGGCTGAGACTAGGGGGAGGAGCTGATAGCACCAGCTCAAATGGTTTTGGGTACAGAGCTTTTAGCACAAGTCATGTGGGTAAATTCCACTTTACCCCAAATGCAACATAGGCCTTGGATCCCCCTCCCTCTTCAACAGCTGTCCCTTAGGTTGGGGGACTCTTTCCAGTCCCTACTCTTTCTAGCACTCAAGTTAGACCCTGAGAAGGTGGCCAGAGTTATCCGAGACGTGGGGAAAGGACGTGAGTCTGGCCTGAGGATGCTTTCCTCCCCCTTCACCCCAATACAAGCCCATCCTCAGGGCACTTACGGGCCTCTTCCTGGGGTCCCATCCGGGTCCAGACGGTGTTCCCAACCTGGGACAGTAGCATGGTGTGGGTGGCTGGTCCAGGCCGCGGCTTGCGGATGCTGAAGGGGAGGTGGGAACAGCAGTCAAGACCTTACTCCAAATAGCCATCAAAGACGTCGAGCTCCGAGTCGGCTTCATAGAGGCCGGAGCCGGGGTCAGAGAGTACGCCGAGGTCCACCAGCGCCTGATCCAAGTCCTCGGGCAGGAAGACGAGGCCCACGTTGAGGACGATGTACTCCATGAGGAAGGCGTAGTAGAGGATCAGCACATTGACGAAGAACAGGCCCACGTAAAACATAGAGGGCAGCAGCGGTGGCTGCACGTGGGAGACCAGGGGGCCGAGCGAGTCCAGGAGGGCTGCGACCCGGGCGCCGGGCATGCAGGGGGCGGCGGTGGAGGAGGCGACCCGGCGATCCCAGCGACCTCAGCCGCTGTGGCGCCCGGGCGGCCGACGAGGGGGCAGCTCGGCCATCCAGTGGACGCCCCGGGTCTCAATGGCGGTGGCGCTGGGTCCCCAGGCAGCCTCGGAGGACCCGCCTTGACCCCCCGAGATGCTCGGGCCGGGGTCACTGCGCCCGGGCACTGGGGTGTGGGCCACTTGGCCCGCTCGCCCCGCAGGGCCCCCCGGGAAGTGGCCAGCGACAACCCAGATCGCTCGGTGAGCCCTCGCGCGTTCTCTGCCGCGGCTCAGCTTCGAGGCCGGATCCCGGCTGCCGCCTCTCCAGCCTGGCTCTGCCGCTCCTCGAGCCCCCTCGGCGCTCCCGCAGGCCCGGCGCCCATCCCTGCGGCCGCAGCGACGCTCCAGGGCTTCTCAGCCCCGCCTCCCCAGCGGCCCTGCACTCATTGGTCAGCCCCACGCTTGCCCGCCGCTGATTGGCCAGCTCAATGGCCCGCGCTCATTGGCTCAGCTGTCTGGGACTTGGCTGTGCCTTTGCTCCGCCCCCTCGGGAGGTCCCTAGTCTCTAAATTGCGTTGGTGGCGTCTGCGCTCTGGGTCCTCTGCACCGCGGACTTAGGTATGACGCCATGACCCTTTGGGACTCAGTTTCCCCATTTTAAACGAGACCAAAAGAAGGGCGGCGTACAATCCCACGGAAAATCTTGGACATTCCCAAAGCGTCGCTTTTTTTTTTTTTTTTCTATAGTAGGGTGAGAAAAATCAATCTGTGACCCAGTAAATTCTGACAGCTGGGAGGTCCCGCCATCAGCGAGATCTGTGTGATAGGGTTTCTGGACACCCAGACGAAGAGCGTTCCAGAAAGGACAAATCTTCTGCCAGTAAGGTTGCTAATTGTTAGTTTTTACTTTGTGGTCCGTGATAAAAAGCTCAACTACATGAACAAAGCTCATCCGCCCAGAATCCTCTGTTTACATGCAAGCCGTGTGCATCCGTAGGAGGATGAGTTAGCCAAAGTACCTTCCAAAGGAATTTAAACCACTGTGGATAGAACCCAAGACTTTGTTCATGCTAGACAAATGCTCTAGTGTTGAGCTACATTCTGAGCCTTTCAGCAGTCCTTTAAGCTAAGACCACGCTTAGATTCACTGGAGCCAGACAAGGCAATGATACCTTTTTCACAGGTGAGGAAACCAAAGCTTAGAGAAGCTACTGAGCTCAGGTATTTTTCTCTGGAGGTCAGAACCAGCTCTTTCTTCCTTGACTTTCTCTTGCCCCTCCAGATCAATAACAGGGCAAACCATTAACTGGTTTCTTTAATTCCTGAAAGCACCTCAAATCATCATTTATTCAGTCTATCAATATTTATCAAACACCTATTATGTGCCAAACCTTGTCCCAGGTCCTGGAGAAAACACCAGCGACTGGCCCAGTTCTTTTCTGAACATGATTGATGGGACACCATAGGACTTAAATAACTACAAGATGTAGAAATGAATCATGGATGGTGAACAGGAAAGTCTTGCTTCCCAGAGTTCCCCACTTCCAACCCAAGAGGAAGTTTAGGTATGTGTAAGCTCAAATAAAATGTTCAGAGTTTCCTTTTTCTCTTTAATGTGGTAATTTGGGGAACAGCACAGATTTTGGATGAAGACCAGAAGAATCTTCTAAAAGTACAGAGTGTTCAATTTTGGTTCATTGTTGCTTGAAGACCTTTCCAGTATGTCTTAAAAGTGAAGTGGAAAAGGGTTTTGAGAACAATCAAAGCTGTTACTGATTTATCTTTTTTGCAGTTTTTAAAAATATTTTATTTATTACTTTTATGTGTACGAGTGTAGTGCCTGCATGTAGGTAGGTGCACTGGGGTCATGCAGTGCATGCGGAGGTCAGAAGAGGGCATTGGATCTCCTGGAGCTGGAGTTATGGGCAGTTGTTAGCAGGCATATGGTTGCGACAAATCCAATCCTGGTCTTCTGCAAAAGCAGCCAGCGCTTTTAACTGCTGAGCCATCTCTCCAACACCTATTGCATTTTTGTTTTGTTGACAGATGAAAATAAGAATACCAAGGCTAGAACACTGCTTCTGCCACTTAAGTGCCTGACTTCTCTGTGAGTCTGTGGTAAAGCGAGGATAATAGCCATATCCATTTCATAGGGTTGTGAGAATAGTAAATTACCTAGGATAGTGACACAAAAATATGCACCACAGAATATCTTTACTTTTAATTCTTTTTCTTTTGTTTTTCTTTTTGGTCTTTTTGAGACAGGGTCTCCCTGTAGTCACAGCTGGCCTGGAACTCACTATGTAGACCAGGCTGGCCTGGATCTCACAGAGAAATGCCTGTTTCTGCCTCCTGAGCTCTGGGATTAAAGGCCTGTGCCATTATACCCAACTTTATTTTTAATTATTATTGCGATATCAAAGGTTGACTACATCATGCATGCTTGGCAAGTGTTCTACCACTGAACTACATTCCATCCCCTGAGAGATGGCTCAGCTGTAAAGAGTGCTTGCTGCAAAGTCTGACGACCTGAGTTCAATCCCTGGTATTCCAACGGTGGAAGGCGATAACGGACTCTCTAACGTTGTTCTCTGACCTTTGCACGCGTGTACACACACACACACCACACAATTTTAAAGTTGTTCTCTGACCTTCGCGCGCGTGTACACACACACACACACACACACACACACACACACCACACAATTTTAAAATAAGAGAACTACACCTCACTAAATTGCCCAGGATGTTCTCCAACTTGCAGTCCTCTTGCCTCAGCCTCCCCGTAGCTGGGTTTACAGACCAGACTTTATTCTAACTCTTATCACAAAGCTAATAATTGCTTCTATCAGAGAGACTAGACCCTCCACCTTCCAGGGGTTTGCCACAGGCTTTCCCTCTTCTCGCTCCGCCTTTTCTTGACGACCACGAGATGCATGCCGGACCTTGTAGTCCGTTTGCAGAGTCCTGTCGCCGGAGGCCTTGCGAGCGAACTGCATTTCCCAGAGTTTCTTGCGGTGACGGCCGTAAAGCGCGGCGGTCGAACGGCCGGTTCCGGCTGAATGTCAGTGTGGGGCTGTAGGCTGGGGAGGAAGGTGGCTGGCGGTCTCTCCACCACCTCCGGCACTACGAGCTTGGCTAGAGCTGCGGCTCCCGGCGACGGGCTGCCGGGTGGGTCGGGCATGAGACCGTGAGGCGAGTGGCGGGGCCCGGGCCGCCGACATGTTTGGCCGTTCACGGAGCTGGGTGGGCGGGGGCCACGGCAAGTCCGCCCGCAACATCCACTCCTTGGACCACCTGAAGTGAGTGTGTGGGGCGTGCAGCGGGGAGGCCGCGGGGCCCGGCGCGCAGACACCTGGGCGCCGAGCTTGGCTTGCCGGGCGCTGGAGGTGCGAGCTGAGGTGCCTGGCGGACAGGGTCATCTGGGGGAGGGCAGTGTGCTGATTATCCGCGAGGCTCTGGAGTCAGGGCGCCTGGCTTCGAACCCTGACCGGGTCGCTCCCGGCCTTGTGACCTTGGATAAGTCGCTTGGCTTTTCAGTCCCCGGATCCCCACCTGAAAAGTAGGGGGATGAGGTTTCGGTTTGTGGATGCGGACTTGTCTTGATAGGGGCAGTCGATGGCCACTGAGCTTCGCGGCGTGGCACTTCTTAGACCGGACAGCTTTAGGGATCCAGAGGTCCTGGAGTCTGGCAGATCTGGGTTTGAATCTAGATGTATGCATTTAGGCTGCAAAAATGAAAAGAGTGACAGTACTACTTTCTGTGGTTATTTTTAGGACTGGTTGGATAATGAACAAAACTCAGAACATGAACAAATGCTCCAAAAAGGATGGGGATTAAAAGAACAAAATATTTTCAGAAGGACCGCTAATAGGGGGCAGTCAGCAGTTGAGCTCTGGGGGAGGACATGTGGTAAAACAGTCTCTCTGGAAAGCAGGAAAGTGCATAGAAATTAAGAGACTACCTTCGGATTTAGATTTGTGTTCAAATCCTGACTCTGCCACTGAATGGCTATGTGACCTTGGGCAAATTTTAACTCTGTGCTTCCAATTCTCCATTTCTCCATCAGTGAAGTGGAGATGATGAACATTGTACAAGGATTCCATGATGCCCTGCAAGGAAAGTGATTGACCCAGTATTGATACACAGCAGGTGGCTAATAGTGGTATCTGTGCTTATCAGCTCACCAGGCCTTCCCAACCCACTCCATTTAATGTGCTCCCCCAACCCAATTCCATTCTGTCAACTCTTTCTCTTGGTTTCATCTCTCAAACTCTTGAAGTCTTCTGTGGTTTTGTTTATTTTTACTTCTTTTCCAACGCTTATTAAACTGGTACTTCTGAGGGGGCAGAGGCTTCTTGGTTTGTTTGCAGTTATATTCAGCATCTAGCGCTGTGCCTGGCATACAGTAGGAACTCAGTGGAAAAAAAGAATGAATGAGCTAGAGAGAGTTGCAGAATGCAGGCAGAGCCTCAGGATTTGGGGGACAGATGAGGAGAGTAATGGAAGGTAGAAACCTTTCAGAGGGAGAACTAGGGGTGAGGATGCTGAAGGGAGGACCAGCCAAACTTACCACCTTTGATAGTTAAGAAAGCAGCTGCTCTCCAGAAGGGAGCACACAAGGTTCCTAATGGGCAGTGAAATGATAAGCATGGGAGGACAGTGGGGGACAGTGAAAGGAAGACAGGGGCCTGGAGAGGATTGGTGGGCTGGGAATTAGATGGGTGCTTCTCATTTGATCCTGAGGTGTGGAATGGCTATGATTCTCAGATGAGTCCTTTCTTGCATGGAGCAAGCATTTAGAAAATGTCTGGGTCTCCAAGTGTGGAGATCAGGATGGTTTAGGGATGGGGTGGGGAGAGAAGCCAGAGAGAGGAAAGAGGTCCAGGGCAAGTGGGGATTGGTAGGGATGCTGGAATCTTAAATGGGTTGGCAGATGGCCCAGAAAGGGAGTGGGGATAAGAGGTCCAGGGCAAGTGGGGATTGGTAGGGATGCTGGAATCTTAAATGGGGACTCGGGAGTGACTGAAGGCTGAAGGGCTTCAGAAATGTGTGGGGTGCATGGATATGGCCATGAAGGGGAAGGTGGTTATCCTCTACCTGGGCCTCCTGCCAGTGCCCAGGCATTTTCTGCTCTCACCTAACTCTGACTTGTAACCCTTTCAATTATTATGTATTGAGTGCTTTATTCTGTCTTGCTAAGGGCTTCCTGTGCAATCTTTTTTCTTTTTGATCTTCACAAGTCTACAAGTTTTAGGATTTATTATGTTTCTATTATGTAGAAGTGGGAATTAAGATTCAGGGAGCTTAAGTCACTTTTCCCAGGGTGAAGAGCTGACAATCAGAGGCAGGTCTTGACTTTAGAGTGTCCTTCTGGGTACACTGTCTTTCTGAATAAAACTTCTCGGTCTGGGGAGACTTTTGACTGTATCTCATGGTCAGTGGGGCATCTTTTTTTGGCCAGCCAGCATGCATCTGGGGATGTAAGGGACCTCAGTTTTCTTCACAATATCCAGGGAACTGCCCAAGTTCATCTCTGAGGTCACTGGAGACTAGAGCTGCCTGCTCTGGTTCAGGCTGATCTGCTTAATCCCCATCACAGACTCAGAAACCTGGGTCTTGATTGGTATGGGGCTTAGAAGATCCAAGGTGACTTGGAAAAGGGTGCCATGGACAGCTAGTGTCCACCTAAGCACTCATACTGCCCTTCTTCTTGTTGTGGTACAAAACAGCTTGTTCCCTGAGAGAGTCTGCTAGCTGGTGGGGGATGACCATGGTAGGGGCAGAACTCTACAGTGTGCCAAATGCAGAGACCACAACAGGTCCAGGGGTCTGTGGGACACCTTCCTAATAGCTCTCTGGAGGAGGGTATACTAGATTGGAGCCCCCAAGGATGGGAAGGAATCCACTACATGGCACAGGCAAATGGGGAGGAAGGGGTCACCATGGTCAGAACCGTGGGGTTTGTAGCATGTCAGGGTAGGATGTGGGAATGATAAGAGGTCTTGGTCTGTGAGGTCACCAACACTCCTAGTTTGCCTGGGACTGAGGGGTTTCCCAGGACATGGGGCCTAAAAGCAAAGCAAAACAACCACCAAAATAAACAACAAAATGAAAAACAAAAAAACATGATCTTGCTATAAAGCCCTGGCGGGGGACTGGAATTCATGATCCTCCTGCCTCAGTCTCTAGATCTGTGATTACAGGCATATACCACTGTGCCTGGTCCCCAGTACACTCTTGCCCTCACCTAGCTCATTGTGGGTGGAAAGAAATATTAAGAGTTTGAAGAGAACCTAGAATAGAACTTTTTAATATTTTTTTTTAAGATTAAAAAAAAAATAGTGCACCTGAGTACATGAGGTACCAGCAGAGGCCAGAAGAGGGTGTTGGATCCCTTGGAACTAGAGTTACAGGCAATTGTAAGCCATCTGATGTGGGTACTGGGAACTGAATCCAGGTCCTCTGCAAGAACAGTAAGCACTCTTAACCACTGACCCATCTCCAGCCCTAGTTGTTGATTTTTTTATTGTATATTTCTTTTCTTCAGGGGCCACAGAGATGTAGGGTGGGGTGAGATAGTGTCTTGATTTGGAACTCTGGCTGGCCTCCAACTCCTGCCTCAGCCTTGTAAGTGCTGAGATTACAGATGTAATCACTATGTCCAGCTCCCTTTTTTTAAAAGTACACCCACCATCCTAAATGATCTTATCCCTTGATCCAGTTCCTCCAGTAACAGTATTCCTTGTTTGAAAAAAAAATATATATATATATTTGTCATTTTTATTTTATGTGTTTGAGTGTATTGCTTGCATGTATTTAAGTGCACCCATGTCATGCAGTGCCTGCAGAGGTCAGAAGAGGGCGTTGGATCCCCTGGAACTGGAGCTAGGACAGTTGTTAGCTGCTGTGGGGATGCTGGGAATCAAACCCAGGTCCTCTGCAAGAGCAGTCATTGCTCTTAACAACTAAGCCCTCTCTTCAGTCCCTCCCCCCTTTAAAAAATACTTTATTATTCTTAGCACTCCCAGCTTACAAACTGGAAGGAGACTTTCTTGTATGTGGTAAGCAGTGGAAAACTATACCTGGGTTCTTTGTCTATAGAGTTGGGTCAGTGATTTAGTTGGAGGCAGATGGAATAGTCAGGAGGTTATTAGTGACACATTGTTTGTAGTTTACTGCCCACACTAGTGGCGAGGCTGTGATATTAACTGACAAATACCCACAACCAAGCAGAACTTCTACTGTCAAGTCCTACTGAAATGTCATTTTGAAAGGGGGACCATGAGCCCACAAACTGATAGAACGTGGTGTTGTGTCATTGCCTTTATTCTGGTCACTTTGTATGGGGTCAAGATTCTTGATTGCAAGCAACAGACCCCACTGAGTTGCCTTAAGTCCTAATGGAATTGATAGGCTTCTGTTAGTGAACAGTGTGACCTGGCTGTACCGCGACAGAGAGCAGTGCTTAGATGAAGCTGTGGGAAATTTGCCTTCTTCCTTCCTTGTCTTGTTCTCAAGAGGTTCTGGGCTCCCAGCGTATCAGCTCAGGTATCCTAGTAGGGCCAAAGAGCTCCTTTTCTTTTTATAAGTTTTTGCTGGTTTTCCTTCATGTATATGGTGCATTGTAGTCACATGCACTCCCCATTAAGAGCTCCTTTTGCTACTATTTCTAGCAGAAGTTCAGAATGGTATTTCTCAGCCTAGGGACTCATGCCACCCCCACAATAGTCATTGAGTCTGGAGGTGCCAGTTATTCCAGTTGGCCAAGCTTTCCTCACTTGCTCCTTCTTGGAGCCAGGGATGGGACCAGCTCCTCCCTTGCTAGAGCCCAAAGAATGAGAACAAGGAAGACTCCCCTGGAGAAGCACGGTTCCCATCCAAAGAGTGGCCTTGCAACTGGTCACCAGCCTGTTCCTGGGGTGCTCACCTTTTGGTTAAGATAACACTGAGGGCTTGGGGTACAGTGTCATCAGATTGATCCTTGCCACATCACACCTTATGGTTCCCAGCATCCTATATGAAGGTTAAAGTTTGCAGACCTGGAAGTACTCCAGACTCTGTCCCCACTCCTCTGGCTTGGGAGCATGGGTGCAGTACCATCCTTGGTAAGCAGACCTGTTCAAGTGGAGACCTATAGGACCTAAAGAATGAATAGTTGTTTCCAGACAGTGAGGGCAGGGGTTGTGGGGAGGATGTCTCAGGCCCCTGCAGCTGCCTTGAGAAAGCCTGGGGTGGGGCAGTCCAGCAGCTCATGCTGGCAGAGCTCCATTTGTTCAATGAGGTACAGGACCCTAGGTG